GATCATTTGTTGCGCGCACCAGAGGCTGCTCTTGCCTAGGGTCACTCTTGCGTGAGGCCGACTTCTCCTCGGGAGTGTCGAGATGGGTGCGGGAGGGAGTTGGGCGAAGACTGGCAACATTCGCTGCCAATTTTGAGCAGGGGCTGCTATTTATACCCCTCATCCTGAGTGGGCTTCTTTCTTGTTGTCATAATAGAACTCCCTCTCCTTCTCCTTCCTCCCTCCTCCTCTTCCTCCTCCTTCTCCTTCTCTTCTTCCTTCTCATAACCACTACTGCCACTACTACCACTGCTACCACTGGTGCCACTACTAGTAGTACCCACTCTCACAACTACCGCTACCACTATGGCCATCCAGGGAGGCCCCACCAGAGCGGGCAGGGCATTCGCAAACCATGCTATTTACCAGGTTTCGTGCCCCTCCCACCCGTCCAGGAGGTCCCGCCAGAGCGGGCAGGGCTCCCGACCATGTTCCTCGCTGGATGCCGCCAGGGGCCCGGATCTCCGACGGCATGTCGGCCCCGCTGTTTGTTCCGACGCGCCGGCCTTCCGTCGTGGGGAGGGTGCCTTGGCCACCAGGGCGAGCGCCGCCTCGGGCGCGGTAGCTTTGTCGCGGTGCCCGGCCTCGTCCACTTGGGCACGGGGTGCATGGCTTGCCGTGGGTTTGCCGTGGTGTCTGTCGGCCTCCTCCACTTGGGCGCGTCGAGAGCAAGCGGTGCGGCGACACATGTTGTTTCCAGTTCGACCTCCGAGATCCGGGCGTCTCGACGTTTCCATATTAGGCGCTTTTGCCCAGCTTCGGGGCGTGCGGACCTCGCAGATCGACCCGGCTCGAAAAGTGCCTCAAGCAGATGGGGTCTAGGATTCCGGTCGTGATCTCTCGCGATGTTGTGTTTTGTTCGCGACGTTGGGTCTGGGGGTCGGCCTTTGGGGCACGTTGTTGGGCCCTGAGGCAATCAGAAACAGATCTGGGCGAAAAATTGTCCCCTCTGGGGGGGGGTCGGGCGTTCTGGGGCCGCGGACTGAAACATTCACGACGTCGGGCGTCTGGGGGTGTCCCTTGCGCACGGTGACCCCAGGATTTCCCAAGAGGCTCCCCCATCACGAGGCCCAGAATCGAAGGAGAATAAGCACACCATGCTCATACATCGAGTGTCCGCGCGCATCTCTTGGGTCGGCGCCGCGAACTCCCCTTTCGGCGTCTCCGGCGCCGCCCGGTTAGCTCCGTGCGCCCGGGAGGGCCCAGCGCCGTTCCAAGAAATTCGCGCGGGCCTCCGCAGGTGTGCGATCATGCCGTTTGTTTTTCTGCTGAAGGCCCCACAGGTGCTCCCAACCCAGACCCCCGACGTCGTGATTTTGTTCACAACGTCGACCCCCAGAGGCAGAGGTCTGGACCCCTTCCCTGGGACCTGTTTTGCATCCTAAGTCGTTTTTTGCGGTCCCGAGGCCCGATGAGGGCCCCCGGAGGCCGAAAGCAGCGAAAAACCTCCCGTCGTGATTCTTTCACAGCGCGAGGGGGTCTGGGAAGAGAGGTGCCAACCAAGCTGGGGGCGGGCCCTGGGCCAGGGGCAACCCCCGGCGGCTCCGGGCCCTCGGGCGGTGCAGGCCGCGAGAGGCTCTCCGACGAGTGGGTGGAGATGTGCTACGAGTACTGCAGGCTCCCAGTCACCCGATGCTCAGGAACACGATTCTCGGGTTGGGAGGGTGGGGCTCCCAGACATGATCGCGTCGTGACAAAAATCAGGACGGGAGGTTTTCGGGTATTTTCGGCCTCGGGGGGCCCTCGCCGGGCCTCGGGACCGTCCTAGAACGACTGAGGATTAAAAGACGGGTCCCGGGGAAAGGGTCGGGACCTCCAGGGAGCCCGTCCTGAAAAAATCAGGATGTCGCATGTCTGGGTTGGGAGAACTGAGGATATCATTACCCGTAGGCGGCAGCAGGTATCGTTCACTGCACCCGGATGCTCTTGCTCATGCCCTTGGTCCTCCCAACCCCTTCCTCCCAACCCGGCTCTCCTGATTCATTCCCCAGGGCCAGCTTCTTATCCCGAGCTGATTTTTGGCGGCCCGGGGACCTTGCAAGGGCTGCCAGGGCCCCAAGATGCGGAACACGGCGGAAAACCGCCGCCCTGTTTTTCAATATGTTGGCTGTCCGGGAGAAGGTTGTCTATTCCCTGGCGATCGCGGGCCTGACCCAGGGGCCCGTTGGGGGGAGGGGGGAGGGGGCCGGTCACGTCACGATTCGCGCCAGCGCCGTCTCGGAAAGCCTGCGAATGGCTGATTCCCAGACGGCGCCGACGGGTGCGAATCGTGACGTGGCCGGTGGAGGGGAGGGGAGGGGCGGCGGGGCTGGTCACGGGCGTCACCGCGAACATAAAAAACTTGCTCTAGGCTCCACTTCACGAAACCGGGCAAGATCGCCGAGTGCAAGAGGGGGTGCTACAGGCGCGACACGTACCAGCCCGTGCCAGGTGAGCGCTACTTCCGGGGCAGGGCCGACCGGTGAGGCGCGGGCGTTCGCGGCAATGGCCAGCACAAGACCAGCGGCAGGAGCGGGGGTGTTCTTCAGAGGAGGAGCTTGACTTCGGAGAGTAGCATCAGAGGAGCTAGAGGCCATGATGATAAGAAGTTCGAAGATCTCCGCGGTTTCCAAGATTCCCAAGGTTCCCAAATGTTCCACACGGGCTCCACTAACAAAGGCCGCGAGATACCTTGAAAATCCTGCAACGCATCCTGGGCCAGTCCTATCATGACATCGCCCTCGTCTTGTTAGGAGAAGGAAAACGGCATACGCATAAGCTTTCGGAGCTCCGCGCGGATTTTTGGGGATCGGCGCTGGAGCGTTCTGGCGGCGCCTCTGACGCTGCCCCTGGCGACCCTAGCGGCCCTGGCGCGCTCCGCGCGCCAGGGAGGGGGTTTCCAGCACCGATCCCAAGCAATCCGCGCGGAGCTCCGACAGTTGTTTGTTCGTGCAGTTGTTCCACAGGAGGAGAACCTGGACATCCGGCGTCTTGACAAGAACCAGTGCGGAGGTTTGCGTCGTGTTCGGCCCCTGGGGGCCTTCGCCGGGCCCGTGGACCGTGAAGCAGCGACACTTGGCGAACAGCCAGCCCGAAGGAAAGGGTCGGGACTCCTGCGGACCCGCATCGAACAATCAGACATCGCGTGTCTGTGCGACGGTACTGTCGCTCGTCCTTGACAGCCCTCGTCGCCACGGCTAGATTCTCCACGAGATTCTCGTAAGAACGCGCCCCAGGAGAAGTCAGTGGAGTGGCCATATCGGCATCTTATGGTTTCCCCAACCCTGAGCCCCCCTATGTTTCTCAATCGGGCTTAGGTAGAGGTCAGAAATCCCAAAACGGTGTGGTGACCACACCCTCGGCTGAGTCAGTGGGGATTCGGGGTGACCGCACGGCTTTGGTACTTTGATCGTTCTGAGTTCTCAGAGGCCTTCTCGGGCGACGGGGGCATCCGAGACCCCCAAACCGTGTGGCGACGGACCGTTCGGTGAGGTCTTCCTGGGATTTTTAGGTCAGTGAACAATTTGTCACCGCAACGTTTGAGACCCAAACTAAAGTCCTGCCAGAACAACGAGTGCGGCGGCAGCGTCTGCGGCGGCGGCGACGTCGATCGATGACGACGTCGAAGCCACGTCAGTGCTCGGCCACAGAGGTCCCAACCCCTTCCCCACGGGTGGTTCTTCGCCTCGGACCCGTTCTTGATCGCCCTGGGGCCCGACAACGGGCCCCAGTGGCCGAGATCGGGGAGAAACGCAGGGACTGAAACAGCAGACGTCGTCGGAGATCCGGGGAGAGTGCGACCCCAGATCGCGCCTCGCGGACGATGCATCGGCGGGGCGGGCCCGACCTGGAGCCCGACAGCCCGACTCTCTCCCTCCCGGCGTCGCTCATACGTCGCGCTGCTATCCTGCGATACAGGGGCCCGTTCGGTCTGGCCCCGCTTCGAAAGTCTCGGGGCCAGTGGCATCACGTGCAGCGGGAGCGGGAGGGGGGCGTCGAAGAAGAACAAACATGTATGAGCATAAGCTATCGAAGGTCCTTGAGATCTGAGCGTTGCAATTTTGTTAATTCAGGCGTTTTCGCTTGGTTTCGGGCTCCAAGACCATAGCCCATAGCATATCGATCCGGATGGAAAATAGAGGTTGAGATGTCGGTTGTGATTTTTGCGATTCCGCATTTTTCCGCCACGTCAGATCTCAGGGGTCCGCGGCGGATGTCTTGGATCGGCGCAGGACCCCCCGACAACGCCTCTGGCGCCCCCCCTGGCGCGCTCCGCGCGCCAGCGCCGATCCAAGAAGCTCGCGCAGATCTTCGAACGTTTGCGCAGGGGGGCAACGGGGGGGGGCAGAAGCAGGCGGCGGTCTTCTGGCGACACGGCGCGCCCGTTTTCAACGAGGCGGCGAGTGCCACTTGGCACGACTTCTCTGACACGAGTGGGCTGCGCGTTGCCACTCCTGCTCCTCCGCCTCTCCCCGCATCGAAAAGAGTACGACGTCGGAGGTATGGGTCCTCACCTCCCTCGACCTTCTCCAAGTCTTAGTCGCCTTCCTCCGCCTTCTCCCCTTCCTCATCGTCAAAATCGTTGCCCTCCCTTTTCGAGACTGGTGATTTCTACGATCACTGCGGCTACGATTATTCTGAGTACTATTACGATTGTTAGTATTATTATTTCACTTATTGTTATTATTTCCACTACTGCTACTAGTCCAGGCCGCATTCTGTTTTCGCAGTTTATTTGGTGTAAATGAGAAAGAGGGTGTTGGAGGTTCTGTGCGGCGGACGTGGTGTCACAAAAAAACATAGGAAACATATGCAACACACATAGGCAACAGCAATAACGCATCTACAGCATATGTACACAGTATGTGCCAACGTACACAACCTATATACATTCACATGCAATACATGTACACCACGTAAACAGCACATGTGCGCTACTTATGCAACACATGTTCGAAACCTTGGCAAACCATGCACAACACATGCAGCGATGATGTCCAACACATGTACAACAACTGCATAAGGCATTTACTTAACCTGAACAGCAGTGAGGACGTATGGGAAATAATATGACATGGCATGTACACCACGTATAGAGAACATACACAACACACACACTATACAACTATATACGCATTTATGTATGTATACCTATGTATATGCAAATACGTGTGTAAATATCACGGCGCGCATGGAACTACTATATAGCCACCGTACAGACACACGTACACTAAACATAGGGACCATACACACCACATGCAGGACGCACGTATAGGACACTTACAGGAACACCGCGTGCACACCATATTACAACCGTGTACGAAACATATTCAACATAGCAAACCCATTCGACCTATATCGAGCACACAGACGAAGCATATTCTGAACATATAGAGCAAATTTACATACCAGAGACAAGCCGTATACAATTCATGTATATAGCACCCCGCAATTGCGGATAAGAGTGAGGGGGCGGGCGCGGGCGACGCGGGCGTTGTCGAGCCGGCGGACCTCGTGGCCCCCACCTTCCTTGTCGATGGCGATCTTCTCCTCCTCCTCCTCCTCCTCGTCCTCATCGTCATCGTCCTCCTCCTCCTCCTCCCTCCTCCTCCTCCTGTTCTTCCTCGTCCTCCCTCTCCCCCCCTCGTCCTTTCATCATCGTCCTCCCATCGTCGTCCTCCCCCCTCATCGGCCTCCATCATCGTCCTCCCATTGTCGTCCATCATCATCATCATCATCATCATCATCATCATCATCATCATCCCCCTCCTCCCCCTCCTCGTCCTCCTCCTTCCCCTCCTCCCCCTCCTCCCCCTCCTCGTCCTCCTGCTCCTCTTCCTTTTCTCTCCACATTATCCTTACATCCTCTCTTCTGCCGCGTTCTCCTCGTCCCCTGTTTACTCCTCCGCTTCCCCCTCCTTTCCCAAGATAACTGCAACGCAGTCTTATTTTCCACTGTATGCTTCCCGCCTTCTCTGATCAAGGCAACTCGCCAGGGCAAAGTTGCTGGACGGGCTGGTGTGGATGCGTGGGGCTTGAAAAGGTCCTTGCGGGCTCAGACGGCATGCGAAAATCCGCCGCCGCGTTTGTGCGGCATTGGTTTGTTCAGTGAACGTGGTTTAGGTCGCGGGTGGGTCGTGGGCTTTCCACCTCCACCTGGAAGGAATGCAAAAGCAACTCGCCGCAGGCGCCAACAAACATTGGTTTGTACACTGAACGTGGTTTGGGTCGCGGGTGGGCCGCGGGTTCGCCACCGGGAACGAATGCAAAAGATGCCCGCCGCAGGCGCCGAAACATGTAGTTTGTACCCTGAACGTGGTCGCGGATGGCCCGCGGGCTCTCCACCTGAAACGAATGCAAAAGATGCCCGCCGCAGGCGCCGAAAATGGTGGTTTGTACCCTGAACGTGGTTTGGATCGCGGGTTGGTCGCGAGTTGGTCACGGGGTGGGTCGCGGGCTCTCCACCTGGAAGGGATGCAAAAAAAACCCGCCGCAGGCGCCGAAAATGGTGGTTTGTACCTTCAGCGTGGTTTGGGTCGCGGGTGGGTCGCGGGTGGGTCGCGGGGTGGGTCGCGGGTGGGTCGCGGGTGGGTCGCGGGTGGGTCGCGGGTGGGTCGCGGGTCGCGGGGTGGGTCGCGGGGGGGGTCGCGGGTGGGTCGCGGGGTGGGTCGCGGGTGGCTCGCGGGGTGGCTCGCGGGTGGGTGGCGGGGGGGTCGCGGGTGGGTCGCGGGTGGGTCGCGGGGGTGGGTCGCGGGGTGGGTCGCGGGTGGGTCGCGGGTGGCTCGCGGGGTGGGTCGCGGGGTGGGTCGCGGGGTGGGCCGCGGGGTGGGCCGCGGGTGGGTCGCGGGTGGGTCGCGGGGTGGGTCGCGGGGTGGGTCGCGGGGTGGGTCGCGGGGTGGGTCGCGGGGTGGGTCGCGGGGTGGGTCGCGGGTTGGCTCGCGGGTTGGGTCGCGGGTGGGTCGCGGGGCGGGTTGCGGGTGAGACGACGACAACAAACAACAACAAACAACAACAACAACAACAACAACAACAATAACAACAACAACGACAACAACAACAACAACAACCACAAACAAACAACAACAACAACAACAACGAAAATCCGCACCGCGGAATTCCACTTCAGCCACGCACCCAGGGATAGTGAATGACCGTTCGGCCCCCTCACTCTGACAGTACATAAACAAAGCATACGCACCACACATCATTACACAAACAATACGCAATGCATGTGTGACACAAATTCACCATTCACAAATTAGTACATCCGTTCGGAGAACACATACAGACAACATACAAGTCATGTGCACCATGTATTTTTGCCATGCGCAACACACAAACCAAAGACAACGCGCCAGTGGACAGCCCTGAATACACAAAAGGGGGGTGTGCTCGCAACCCCCCCCCCCTCCCCCCCCTTCAAAGGGGGGGTGAGATTTTCGAACCCACCCCCCTCTCCCCTCTTCACCCCTTTGGCATTGG